TTTACTCAGCAAGACTTTGTCAAGAGCCATGAAGGATGTGGAGACGCGAGCTATGAAAATGCAACTTGGGTTATCGCTATGGATTTGCTAGCGGGTCCTAACTAACCACTGTAAAATCCTGCTGTTTAAAAGGGAAGCTTAAACCACAGCATTTTCCTGAGCACAACTTTTATGTGCATAGGGACAGCTCAAGTAAAAGATATATATTGACACATATGTGGTAAAAACAGCTCTTCAGAGAAAACTTCAGTACTTGGGCATGGATTTTGGCTTTGTATAAGAAAAATTGGAAAAAAATTCAGAAATTTTGGAAAATTTTGTGTGAAAACACCCTAATTTGATAGAAAGATTAATATGTACAAATATCCATATTTGGGATGTTTCACTTTGGGGTTAAGTGATGCATTTCAGCTCTCCCCAGTTAATTCACATAGACACGGTTCATTCTCCTTCCACATCTCTGCTGCGGTGCTACCAGAGCATCTTGGCATTCACTTGCTATCAAATCCAAGGGTTGTTATCAGTGTCCACCAAGTATTAGCTCAAGACCAAGGGAGGGAATTAATTTAAGATATAGCACTGTGGTTTAATAAGTCACCTAGTTTCTAAAGTACGTGACTTCAGAAATATATGCTGAGCATCACAACATAACCTCCTGATCTGCATCTATCAGGCATTTTAGACCGTGCACCCATGAAAATCAATTCCACACGTGTTCTGAGTCAGCAGCTTTCCCGTTTCTTTCAGCCCAGCAGGCAAACTGCATGGCGAGCCGCCCTACGGCTGTCTGCGGGTGCAGCCGAGGGGAAAAAAGAGCATGGTGAGTATGTTCTGACATCTCGCACCACACAAATCATATTGCCACTCCGTACTTATTTCAAATTATTTGAGCAATTGCACCAATGCAGGCTCCGCACACTGAGTTCTTCCAAATTCTTGTTTTTCCACTATATATCCAGATTTCTGCAATTAGCTTAGCCTGACTGGGCAGAAGCTTTTGGAGCAAGACAAGCTCACAGACCAAGTTTCATGTACGTTACTGTGACAAAGTAGTTTACGTCCTGCGGTCTCACCTTTCTGCATCAGCTACCTGGAGCTGTCTAACGTTACAGCCCTGCTTTCCTGCGGGTGTATGAACCAGAGCGTCTCTTGATGAATGACAACGCAATTAGCAAGGAAGGGCAACAAGCCTGCAGCCAAGGCGGCCGTCGAAGAAAAGGGGCCCTCTCCCCCAAGAGATACCTTTGACCCTCTGGATTATTTCGAGAGCTTTTTTCCCAGCCAGGTGGCTGCTAGCAGAAGGAGAACAGAGTTCCTCACTGTTTATGCTCTTTAAATGAGCAGTTTGATTGCCTGGCTTGTTTTTCCTGTTCTCTGTAAATGTATGCGCAGTGAACATTAGTTGGAATGACAATTTTGAGGGTGCCGAGTAAAAAAGAAGCAACTCTTAATAAAAAGAAGCTTTAAAAGAACTGGGCACATGAGGCAAGTCACAATTACTTTGCTATTATGTTTCAGCTCTACATCGCTACCAGTATTTTAACTCCCTCCCCATGACAGACCGCAGTGTTAATTTTTAACTTGGTGAATCAGGGAAAGACTGGTTTATTTGCGCTCTCACAAGTTAAGCACAGTTGAATACAAAGGTAAGTTCTAAAACCTGCACTGTTACATGAGGATGTGTCATAAATAAATGAGTTCAGTGAACTGTACCAAAGTGGTTGAGTAGAGGATTTGGCATAGACTCCTCCATGCGCAGCCCTCAATCTATTAAAATACCTTTCTCGGTCCTACCCACCATGGACATCTGTTACCTGTTGTTTAGGTAACAGCTCCACTCTTACAATCAGCTCTTACTGTAGCACAGCTTAACCATGAACACTCACGGCACCAAAACCCATGTCAGCTTTCCCCTTACTGAAAACAGACATTTTTTTGGTACTTGCTACTTTGACCTTTCTTCTGGAGTCCGAGTAAAAATCATCACTGAGTCTAAACTTTAGGAGCCTTCAGGTGGAAAGATCCCCATCACTGCACTGAAGACCTTAAGGTAATTATTTCCCTGTACTAATCCAACCAACAAAGCAACACCTTCCTATTTCACCGGGCTCAGACACAGTGAGGACTCCCATCTTCCACAGGACAGGCAAACACCTCTTCCCAGCTGTGAAAAGTATCTTCTGCTTATTTATCCCTATTAAGCCTTTAAGCCTGGTTTCAAACTTAATTTTGTAAATTAAAATAAAATCCTGTCACCGCTATTGTCCTTAGCGGTGATGGCAGGAGACTATGGTGGTATAGAACATCACCAGGACAACAGCTTGTGTTAAGATCAGTACAAAGATACGTTAGGAGAGAAAAAACAACTCCGTCATTCTTCTCCTCGCCTTTCCACAGAATTCCTAGTAAAGACATTTAGCTCAGTTCCTCCTACCTCAGGGCACCTAAATGACAGACATTTCACCTATGACATTTCTGCAGCCTTTTGACTACTACTACAGATAACATTTAGACTTGCATCATTTCAAGCATAATCTCCATGTATGCTAATGTGCTGCACAAAGATAGCACTGCTCTTGTGATGCTCAACACTACCCCTCTAAATAAGTTTTTACGGAATTTATTGCAAAAAATAAATTCTAGTATATTTGGTAGTGAAGTAGCAACATTTAGCAATTAATAGCCTCTCTGAATTAAGAGAAATAGTACTTCCCAGAGAAGAGTAATCTTAGCTGAGGAGGTAGAGGTGACCTTACATACACCAGTTCTTCTCACCTTTCTTTCTTTACCCCAGAAAGGAATATAATTTTGTAACATTGAAAGTTATTTTGTTTTTTATTATCAGAAGCACAGTTAATCACACTGTATTCAAGAACTTTTATTTCATAGTCACAAGTTAATATACAGTACAGCTCTTCTGATAAGGGAAATAGAACTGGAACAGTTCTAGCTTCTTTTGAGAATCAGTATGTATGCGAAAATATCATTTAGAAAAATATCAGGAAATCATACCTCCCCTCAAATTCTGGCATGAAACATCAGTATTAGTGAAGTCAAGGCAAAACTCCCACTACTTTCAGTGAGATTTTTGCCTCGGGTTGAAGCCATTTGAAAAGCCATTGTGAAAAGCCCTTTACAGGACAAATCTTTGAAGGACACAAAACTCAAAAACTAGCATCCCAAGCTTAACTTGAATAGCTGCCTGACAGCTCCCACCCTTTCTCAAACAGAAAGGTAAGTACAGCAAAGTCACCTGAAGAAAAGATAGCATCAAGATAGTTAAAATATATCTGAACCATTTCACAGAATTTATTTTTCTAATATTTGTCCAAAGTTCTCCACAGCAGTGTACTCTACTGTCCAGTGAGATACTCTTTTAAAAAATGAGCTAATTTGTGTTCTGCAAAATGATTGTATTTTGCAAACAGACAAGACACATAGCAGCTTCTCAAGCTTTTTTAATCCTCTTGATGAAAATGAGGAAAAAAAAAATCAATAAAAGACTTCAAAGTAATACAGCTTTCTTGGACAGTAGAGAGGAGGTCAAGAACGTGGGTTCTGGAAATGCAGCACAAATTCCTCAACAAAGAGATAAATAAATCCTGCCTCAACAGCCGTACACGTCAACCTTGGAATGTGCGCAGGCTAGAGCCAACAGCGATGACAATGACAGTAGGTGAGGAAGATAACCTCTGAATTGCGGGCTTAGTGAGTGAATTTAGGGTGGACAGCACCCACTTCTCCGGTGGAAAGCGTTCCTCACTTCCACCTCTGTGATCCAGCAAAGTTACAGCCTTGCAGCAATCATTAACAAGGACAGATACAGGCACTTGGTAAAGGATCTGGTTCTAAACCCATTAAAGCAAAGAAACCCCAAAAAAACCAAACCAAACCAACCAAACAAAAAAGACTTTGGTGATAAGTGGCTTAGACCCTGAGTAGGGAATAGAAGTCATATACAAACCTAGAACAAGTTTTAAATCCGTAATAGTTAACATTGGAAAAAGACACAATGATTAAAATCCCTAGGTACCTGAAAGGAAGCTAAACCTCTCAGATCATCATCTTGTGCAGCCATTAGATTAGCCAGACAAAAGTTGCACTAAATTTTGACCGAGTCAAGACTGAAGGATTCCCATTGTTGCATGATGAGACTAAAATCTAGTTCCTTACTTAGTCTCTGTAGTGAGGCAGCTGACAGAGCTGTGGAATTTCAGGTGCCTTCAGTTTTCTTCACTATTCTCCCTCCAGTAACTTCAACTAAACTGTTTTCATGACACCTGAAGAGACTAGTTTACTGAAACCTTCCTGTTGAAGTATTTTTTATAATTGATCATAATTGCAATAATTGATTGTAATTGCTCTTTGCACAGGCATTTCAAAATTCCACAGAGACGAGCCTAAATTGCATCCAAGTACAGAAAAACAATGATGATATCCAAGCACTGCCCTATTATCTTCCCCCCAATGTATTTAATGACCTAAGAAAGTTACAAAAGCAACTTTAAATTACATTTACATATATAAACCAATTAAATATATTTAGCTAACACTGATAAAATAAAATCCCAAGCAACATGAAGACAAAAAACTTTAAGAGATGACTGATTCTAGAGTAGTTTTAAGACTAAAAAGTCTTACATTGCTGAGTCTGGATGCAGCAGGAGAGTGAACACTTCGCTACTGAAGTATTACTTGTAGCTGCGACCACTGAAAGCTTGTCTCATTTTTCTCATTTCAGAACAGCAAATGAGTGATTAGTCCAGCATTAACTTCTGCGGTTTTTATTAAGTTCTACATTCTGCGAGAAAAACTGGATTACTTACTCACTTTATAAGTATTTACTTTTACACTTTTTTTGCCACTTCTTTCAGTAAGTGGCAAAATTCCTAGAAACTTCAGTGGCATCAGGATTTTTTACTATTAAGAGCACAGATTTGTTAGACACTGAAAGACAAAATGGTTAAGAAGTGTGGTTTGTAAGAGAATATTAAAAAGGATATGCAGATAGCTATGTACATGTATGTTTAAATTCATTCAAGATGAAAGAAACTCACAGCTTAAAATTCATGTGGCACATAAAGGTATCTGAATGTTATGAATTAATACTCGAAGTCACATGTGGTGAACATATTCACAAAAACTAAAATAAATAACAGCTACTTTATTATCTAAGAATACTTTAAAGTGTGGCATTTCCTGACAATGCTTAGGGAGAATCATCAAGTAAAAGAATGCAAGGGTCATAAGAACTTGTTAAACCCTGATGACTGCTAGTTTCCACTTAGTTTTCTCATGATGGGGCTGTCAGGTTCAGCATTAGTGAAAATACTTCCTACAACCACATGAGTACCCCAGATGTTGTGACGAATAACTTTGCAGCAGCCAAGATCATCAACGGAAAATCCCAAGTGGCGGTAGCGTTCATCTGTTTCAAACAAAGTGTTGTTTGTGTAAGGTCCAAAAAACTAGGTGGAAAAAGAAAAAAGAGAATTTTTCATGTGAACATTTCCAAGAACATTTCAAATGTCAGAAGTACCTCTTCTTAAAACAAAACCTAAACCCAGAAGTACCAGTTACATCTGTTGGAGAAAGTTTTGTTTATGAAATCTACAGAGGAAACCAAGCAGACCACCTCTGGTTATACCGGTACCCCATATTTAAAGATCTCCCTTTGTCACTGACAGAGCACTGAAGGCCTTACAGTGTGTTTGAATGTCTAATCAATCGCACATACAAAAAACCTCAAGTGCTTTGGAAAGGTTCTCCTACTTCTACAGGCATTAAGGATAAAGGATAGAACCCTTCTGTGAAATAGCAAAAATAAGACATGCACCTTTTCAATGAGCCCCTATAAAGAAAGATGCTTTGAGGAGCAAAAATGCGTGTGAATTGGAAACAGGTATTTCAGTTGCTGTATCTCAGGAGGAAGCTCCTGACCAAAAGCGTACTCCTAATGAACAGGTTATTGGTAAGGATGTTACTACTGAATTGAAGCCCAAGACAGAACCCTACCTTCAACCTGTAACTATGCCTTAAATGTCTGGGAAGCTTTTAACAACTATCCACACCTTCAACTGCCTGTTCACCTTATAAACACCCCCTGTTAAACCTATTTGCCTCTGTTGACACGATAAATCACTGCCTTTCACCATGTTTTTAAGTAAAAACCCAATAAACTGAGCTTTGTCATGATTATGTTCAACTGTGATATGGTTTTAACAGTTCTCAGACATAAATACATAGCTTCTATCAGAGCATGAGCATATTTCTCAATTCTCTCTCTTAAGTTTTAAGTCTCTCTATGTTTCACAGATGTCTTGGTACAAAACTGTCAGCTCCTCCAGAGAACTGGTGTCATCTGATAATGAATGCCAACGTTGTTTAATAGGAACAAGCTATTCATATTTTCTGTGTAACAAAGGTATCATTGACTAGTGCAAAGAGACTTTTTAAACCCCTCCATCTACACGAATAGGTGTCAGGACTACAAAGTTACTTTGGAGGGCATAACCAGCCTATTCAGCAGTGACCAGGAACTTTTGACATAAAACTTCCACAGTTCCCCAAAATTCAACTCCATTGCTGAACAATACTCTCCCACCGGCCAACAGCAATGACAGCTGACACAGTATGGAAACTGGCTCAGGGTTACTATCCTATCTTATTTTACAAAATGAGTTATCCTATTGTAACAGCTTTGGAGCAATATGAAAATGTTGAATTTAACCCATATAGAAGAATACAAATACCACTGCTAGTTAGGACACAGCAGCATCCATTGCATATTCCATGCAGCACAGAACTTACGGCCAGTCCTGAGGATGGATCAATGAAGTCAGCCCAATAGCCTTCAGAACAGATTGCATAGCAGATTTCCTTGGCACCATTAACGAACTTAAAGAAAATAAAAGGAAAGAAGGACAACAAATGAGATTTTTGTTCTTGTGTGTGTGTGTGTGTGTATATATATATAAGTAAGACATATAAAATATTTTGAAAATGAACAAGCACAGATTTCTTTTGGCCTCTACTAATAAATGAGAAATTCAGCATACTTTCAGTAACAATGTTAATCATATTAACAGGATTAGAATTAATGGCATACATTAGACTACTCCAATCGTATGAGATTTAAAAGTGTTCCTTGTGCCAGTCAGTAATGGATTAACAGCTTGTACAAGGAATAATGTAATTGCTTTGATTATTCATCAACTGCAAGCATACTTGTTATCCTCTTTAAGAAGTCAACCATTACTTCAGGTATTTGTGTTATTTCCACGAGTTTACAGATCTCACCTAAACTCCACAAATTTGACACTAAATGTACCGTTAAATATATTTTTATAAATATACAAAAAACATAGTTTTGCTGTAAGGTCTTATCTCAGCCAACAGGACAGTATTATGGAGTTCCCTCTGCACTACAAATATTTAACTGCAAATGATTTTAAAGAGCGTTTAAGTTTTGCATCATGATAGCAAACAGTTCCATAAGCACTTGACTTTTACACCAATCTACACCAATTGTCTTGTTGTAATGAACTCCTGGTCAGGATGTATGATTATTTCAAATTCTCCCACTATTTGACAATCAAAGTTTTAGTCATGTTTCAATTACACTGGACAACATCAGCTGATGTTCCTGAAAATAGTATTTTCAAGTAAGCAACATGCCAAGAAGCTCCCTGCTCTGTAACGTGTCATCAAAAGCCTCCCTTTTCTGAAAAGATTGCCACAAAAAAAAAAAAGTAGATTCTTTAAGCTAACTTTAATTTGAGAACTTAAGGTTCTTTTTGTTGGGTTTTTTTTTAATCTTTTGTGTTGAGTTACAGTTACCTGTTTTTCAGAAGAAAATTCCACCAGGTAGATTTAAAGCTGTGCTCCTGTATTCTGACATCACAACACAGGGCACAAAATAATTATATGACCTACAGATTACATAGCACATTTTTTTCCACACATAAATCAGCAAGAACAGGAGATTTCAGCTATGAGCTTTTAATCACCTACACCAGCAGTTATGAGGTTACAACCCATGTTATGAGGGCCAGCAGGGGCCCACAGAAAACTTCTGACAAAGCCAGCAAAGGTGAGTGAAGGAAAAAACCCCACAAAACTCAAGACATGTGATTGTTCTAAAACCATCCACACTCTCCGAGGAAAAACACGTCCAAGTGCAAAAATCTAAACAGCTGAATACACTGATGTATAGTTAAGCACAAACAGAATTCACATAGCTTCCTCAAAACGTGAAAGAAATTCCCTAGTCTCATAAATATTTCTAACTTCAGAGTAAATATAATACTTTATTTAAATTCCATTATAAAAATGGGACTGTTCTCTGTAATTAGTGCCATAGCAGCTCAAGGTTTCAAATTTATAGAAATATTATTATAGTCACCCAGCTTCAGTCCTTTAATGGTCGAAACAAGGGAAGTTTATCCTTTACAGTGATCTGTTCTATATTTTGAGGTTTGATGGTTCTGATGATTAAGTATATTTCAACCATAAATTAAGTCACAAATATAAGCAAGCCATCTGAAGACAGCATTTTAGGCACCACATTTCTGATACAGTACCTCTTTTGATCCAGTGTTGTAATAACCCCTCAGCAATCACTTAGGGTGTGGTTAATCAACACTTGAGATTCACTACTGTAAACATTTAGGTTTGACTGTACATAACTCTCATTACTGTAGCACAAGCCTCTCACATTAAATTAGTATTTTTAAGGTTACTTCTAACCATCTATGAAGCAAACAAACAGACCATTTTCTTGTGAATTTGCTGTTAGTAACCTTTAGGCCAGGAGGTTACATCCAACATCCTAACACCCCTACAATGACTATATTAGACTTGACAGGGAGGTGCACAAGGAAGCAAGATGCCAATTAACATATAATTAGACCAGATTACAATGCCAAAGACCAACAGACCATAAATAATTCAAAGAGAAGAACACACTAAACTGAAGGGAATTTTAATTTGTGTGTAATCTTTATGCTGATCCTTCAGACTGCTTCTTCCTTTTTTGTGGTAACCCTTATACTGCTTTACACAGGTCACATCTGCAATTTACAGGATTGAAAACGACATTACCAGACTATTTTCAAACATAAATACAACCATTACAATACAGATGAAAATACCATAAGATAATTTTTACTAGTTTTAGAAAAATTATGACAAATAATATATAGAAACATTGTACTTTGAGGTGCTAAGAAAATAATGCCAGCAGTGGTGAACACTGACACCTGCTGGAGTACACACACAAAAAATCCGAAGAATATGAAATAAAGCAATTTTCAGTGAGACCTCTAGTGGCAACAGAACAAGAAGGCAAAGTTCATGAGGATGGTTAAGATGTAATAAATACAACTGATACCCAGGCTAGAAGCATTAACTGTATCCATTATCAGAATGGGGGAAAACCCCCCCCAAAAAACAAAACCAAAAACCAAAACAGAGCAACCACTTTTTACAACTAAGGAAGCACTCATCAACAGACGCCGTACTGGAATATCAATTACGTCACAGAAAAACAAAGAGAGCAGTGAAATTCTACAAAATGCATTGTACTAAAGCTGAAATCAGGTGAGAAAATAGTTGCTGCCCTTTAACTGCAACAGGACAACAATCAAGTATCTTTATTAATTCTCTGTAACATTTTACAACCTTTTAGAATACTTTTGACTCACTTCACTATAAAGAATTTAACAGTTCTATGAGACATTTCATGTAGTCAAAAAGCTACAAAGCTGGAAAAAAATGTTATCTCCCATGTTATCAGTAAGAGAACATAGGATTAGCTCAAAAACGGTCTAAAAAGTAATACGGTATATTAGTAGCAGAGCTTGAAATGGACCAAAATGCAGACATAGTTCACAGAAGATTTGTCTACAAATAAAAGCCATTGCTACTGTCAGCTACTTACATTTTCTAACAGCATTTCTCTCTCATCCTCCACTTCTTGACTCCATACAGTCATATCATTTTTAGTCTTCTGGGTGACAGTCAATACCGTTAAACGGTTGGCATTCACTTCTGGAAACATTGACTCAAAGTCTAAAAAGTGAAACTGGCATGTTAGGGCATGCTCTTACATTTTACTTATGATCTTTCAGTTTTAGACAAATTATTGACCCTACTTTAGAGCCTTCCCTTCATTTAAATCCAAGATACATGTTTTTTTTCATGTCAGATCCAGCAAACAGCTGAAGTGCTGATGTTGCTTTTGTGGAAACTAATGCACCTTGGTAAGGTCCTGTTAAAAGCAACTTAGGCAACAGAGTTTGCTATTTCAAGACCTCCTATTTAATTGCAAGATGATAAAAGCCCCGCTACTCTGCGCATTTCAGAATGTGCAAACAAGTGCCTTTCTATGCCTGTAACACTAAGTATAGTAATACTTTGAACTGACCACCACTACGGTTGTCCACACACATAAGGTGTGAAGACCCTTATTTTCTGGCTCAGCCATATTACGTGATGCACACTGATTTTTACATTAAATCTTTCACTAGAAATGCCTCAGATCTACCCCCTAAGTCATGACAGCAAACTCTGTATCAGTAGCATACTATAGGCACAGTTGTGAGAGTTCGTCCCCTGGGGCAGAAAAGGCCCAAACCCATCAGGATTCTGTCTCTACATCACCTACTGGACTACAAACAGGAACACACGTGAAGCGCTGAAGTCATGATGAGGCTTCACGGAGCCTTGTTTTCAGCGTGGGAGGAAAAAACCACCTTCCAGAATTAAAAGCCCAAAGGTTCATTCTTTCTTACTGTCTGAGAAGTATGCCCTCTTCAGCACCTAGACCAAGATTTCAGCCAGATTTCAGTATCTTCTCTCTTTCAGTAGATCACTTTTAAAATTAGGAAGTTTTATTCCAATTTAATTTCAATTATTTCCTCCTTCATCAAATTAAAGATACAAACCCAAAGCTTTTAAGTAGTTTCGTAATTTCAATTTGCTATTTTACTAAGAAGCAGTGCCAAAAGACTTGTTTTTGTCACAAACTAGTTTTTGGATAGTGAATTTGCTCCAGAATCTACCTAACACTAAAGAAGCAGGTGAAAGTTACTCCCTGCTCCAGCTGATCTTGAATTTAAATGCACTGAATTTTATATGAGATACAAAGTAGTGTCAACAGCCAAGTTTCAATTTTCATTTTATAGCATGTGTTTTTCTTTTGCAAAGTATTAACTCTGGATTACCCTTTTCTGTTCCACATTCTGTGGCATCAGTTACATCAGAGCATTTACTACTTACACACTTTTACATTTTAAAAAGTTATAATTTCTTAGCTATCAAAAAAAGTGGAAAAAAAAAAGTGTTACCCTTTCGTAACAGTTCAGGACAAGCTTGCACTGCACATTCTACCTTTGCATTTTCAAAGTAAGCTTCAGCGTTATTTATTTGCTGTTTCTGTGGAACATCAGCACCCTGAGAAAAAATGAAAGTTATGTATTAATGAACGGGAAAGTTACAACAGGGGTAACTTTGTACACCAGATGATGTTTTTGTGACTAAATGTCCTCTGATACGCTCAAGCGGTTTCACAGAAAGATCCTTTGCAGTGACACTTAAAATTCATTTTTGCAAATATTAAAAGCAGAACAGATATAGGTATAACCTACAGAGAAATTTTAAGCTTTATGTATTATTGTAACTGTGTATCTCAAAGCCTCAACCAATACAGGAATTTTTGAAAAATATCCTACTGAAACAATGGCTACAAGTATTTAATACAACAGGAACTGATAGATTTCAGACATACGCACATTAAAACCAAGTTTTATTCTGGCTCAGGTAAAGTTACGCAACAGTTCTAGAGCTCTGAACTATCAGTATTTTTAGCTTTAGCTGTTGTAGCTTGAAAAGCAGAACAGTTTTGCAATAATAGCACTTTCATTCTTTACAGTTTTATAGTTCTAGTTCAAAAAAACCCCAACACCCCACACCCACTTCTTGTGGGTACCTTAGATATTTAAGCTTAAAATGCCCTTAAGAAGGTAGTAACAACAGTTGCCTCCTTTGGGATACCAAATAATATGCAATAGGCACAGAATGCCTTAATACAGTTTTTTCTAGCTCTAACTATGCTGTAATTTACAAGGAATTTTAGTAAGTTTCTCTAAGCCTGAAATTACACCTCAGTAGTACATTAAGTGCTACCTAACACCTGTTGTATGTGAAAGTTCTCCCTTGAGAAAACCATTACACTGAAAACACAGTGCGCCTGGCATTTCTGTTCTAGAGATTAACTTTCAAGAATAGAGAAAAAAAAAAGGCAAACAAATAAAAAGCAATAGGCAAACAACAGACATTAACTCCAGTTTCAATACATACGTTTCCACCTATATCCACATTATGATTGCCAAGTCATTGGACAGACCAGCTGGTACTGTAAGCCTGCACGAACCACACAGTTATGCTAGTAAACTTCTTTTCTTCCTAACCAAAGAATGCTTCTCTTACCAGAACAGTAGGTCATGGTGATTTCTTGCTTACTACTCCCATTCTAGCTGGCTAACCACCACTTACATAGTACACATGCTTAGCAGGCATGCCATCATCAAGAGACTATGGCCATTTTCCAAAGATCAGTATCACTTTCTGATATTGATCGGCTGGTAGGCCCATTTACTCTGCTCAGGTGAAACTAATACATCAATCCCAGGTACACAGAGGTCAGAGAAGTCTGACATTTCTCCGATTGGTTCAAGGATTGATGTCTGAGCTTCAGCAGCTCTGAGCTTTTCTCCTGCTTGCTGCAGCAACCTATGGGAAGTTCCTGTATTCAGCTGATCATTCCAATTTGGGTCCTCTCCTAGGATGAGTAGTTCAGCATTTTTGTTAGCTAAATGCCGTTCATGGATTCCTAAACACCACTGGTATGAAGCGAGATAACTATTCCTGACTTTCTGAATACCAGTTGCAAAACCTGCCTCTGCTCTTTCCAGTTTCTCCCTTCCATTCCAGACAGCAACAGCTGCACCAGGTACTTTATTATACAAGTAACCTTGCTAGAAAGCAGACATGCATTCAGTGCACCTAGTTTGCATTAAATGAACCAGACTAGAGTTTGCTGTTGGGCTTTCAATGGCAAGTATGATTCACACAAGCTGAAAACAGAATGTAGGGAGTTCACCAGAAGCTTTATGTTTTCTGAACACTTTGGAATACAACGCTACATTTACAAAAAACACTATACAGCGCTTCTACAATGGAGATTTGCTAGTTGACTTTCAAAGTCTGAGCATGTCACAAACTCAGAGAGCCTGGAAAGTTGAGTCAGCAGCTAGTAGCAATAAACATCTGGTGAAACACTGTGATCATGCTAGCAATTATCAAGCTGCTTGCTGTTAATAATGCATCTGACTCGCTGCAAGATCTGCTGTCATCAAAATGTGATCTCATTGTACGTCAATCTGCTTCTCCTGTGTGAATCCAATGGTTGTCAGAACTAAGGAGGTAGATCTAAACACTGTCCAAACTATGTAAGTTCAGATCCACTACATGAAATCCTGAAGAAACTATCAATTTCATTTGATAAAAGCTGGTGAGACTTGGTAAACAGCAAGTTTTGAAACTGAAGTTTGCTTTTCCCATATCCATATAATTAAGTCGCTACTAAATTGCTATTTCACCAAGCACCGCTCAGTCAAAAAAAAAAAAAAAAAAACCAAACAAACCACACCCCGAAATATTTCTTTCTCCTAAAAGAAAAAACGTCAGCTCAATTCTATGTAATCTCTCACTCACCCCAGTTGAAGTTCATCTTTCAAAACCATCTAGAAAAATCAACACTGGCTTTTCTCAGGAGGAAGAGAGATTAGTTATGTTTCTCTTAGACAAGAAATATCAGTCTCACATAGGAGAAGCCTGTTCTTACCTGAAACTCATTTATGTATTGTGCCATTACAAATTCATGCCTTTCACTCGCTGAAGGCTCTGCTAATATATCAGGCAGACTTTTTGAAATTTGGCTTTTCTTCTGAGAAGCAGTGCCATTTAGGTGACAGTCAAAACCAATATTACCAGGCAACTGGAATCTCTGGTCCTGAGGACCAAATGGACCCATTACTTCATCTGGCCATACAGTTCTTGGACCTGCAAAAGTCAAGGCCTTGCTTTAGTCATCACATTTAAAAAGAAAGAAAAAAAAAAAAAAGGAAAAAAACCCCTCTCCCATACAAATATCTGTATTTGATCACAATCATATATAACCAAAGTAACCACAACGCACAAGTAGAAGTAAGGGCCCTGACATAAAAAGCACACTTCAGAATTCCCAAATTTATATGGGGTGCAAAATTCTGACAGCACATGAATTCAAAGAAAATGAATTTGCTTTTTCTTACATAAATCAGGAGGTGTAGCTGCAACATGAGGCTCATCTGAGCCAGAGGAACCTGCTGTAGAAAAAGCCTTGGGATTTACAACTCTTTTGACTAAGGAATAAAACCCTGGTAGGTAGGTGACCAATCTTGCTCTGTTACAGAGCACCTGAGAAGACAAAAACAAAATAAGTATTACATTCTGCTAGCAAAAATACTAGTTTAAATATAGCTTTGTGGATCACAAGAGAAATCCTCACTCATTAATTACAATTTTAATTATGATCAACTGTATTTCTGTAAAATCAAGTTTTAAAAGTATTTTACTATTACTTTTATCTTTTACTAGTAATAGTATTCTAAGTAAAGGAAAAGCCTTGAATACACTTATAGAAAGGCCTTCTCATCTGAGGGAAAAACACCCTGAAAAGTTTAAATAGCACCACTGAAATCCAAAAACCTAAACTAAGTTATGGATGAGGATTGTTCCCATGATTATTTCCATGCACGTCACTGTTTCCATGATTGCCACAATTCAATCACTGGACAGATTATCCGAAATACCTAGAAATATTGTTAATTAAGTAAACACTGATATCCAAGACGTCTGCCTTGAAGGGTGGCACAAATGTTAGCCAGCCTACATTCCTACTTCTTGAAAGACTGGAGGGAGACACGAGACAGTATCACTCCAGATTTATCTTGTAGCTTTCCTGTAGAAGCAGCGTACACGTGTGCTTACACACACTTCTTCACCAGCAAAGGACACAAACCAACAACTCTGAACTAGACAGGGAGACGTGCGTATCAAAACAGGCAGGTATGGTAATTTCAGCTTCTTTCTTTTGCCCTCGAAATCCATAAACTTTTAACATGTTTATAAACAATTTCGTGCAGCCAATGTTATTTAGATTTGTAAACTCAGTACATTCACATGTTTACAAACAAGCGATACTGCAAACAGATCAGTATGGTGAACAAAACGCCAATAAGCCATAAAACTTTTATGAATTCTGGGGTCTTGTAATGCACCAGAAAGTCTGCTTCACACCACGGAGTTGTACTCTCAACAAAACTTTCAATTGCTGAAGATGATTCTATCAGAAACTGATTCAGCCACACAGTAAACAGAAAATGATGCAATCCTATCTCCCTCAGCGTGCAAATGGTCTCAGCAACAGGGCTCCAAAGAGCAAGTAGCTCCTTACCATGAAGATTAACTCTGAGGCCAAATGATATCTTAAATAGTAATATGAGCAAGTGTTACTGGGGGGTTTTGTTGGGTTTTGTATTTTTTTTAAACAAGAAATATCCAGGTGATGTGATTAAACTGAAAGGTCTGATCTATTTTTTTACACTTTAAAAGTAGATTGACAAGTTTCATGATGCACTTACACAGGCATAACTGAAAAACAACCAATCATACACTCAAAACAGAGAGTTAGAAGTATAATTTTTAAAAAAGATTACTTAACTCTTAACACAAACCCACTAATACTCTTGCCTACAGCTGCAAGAGAGCATGCATTACTGGGAAATATAAATCCCACCTGCCACAGCGTGTGTGCGTTCATAAAACTTTATTTTCCCGGTGAGGGAAAAAAATTTTTTTGAGAAACTGATATTAAGGGATTTTCCTCAAGTGCTGCACACTTGATGCTATAGAAGTTTATGCATATGTTTACCACTAAATATGTATGCAACAAGGTTACTTCAAAAAAAAGTGAGATAATGGTACTACTTGTATATTTAAGATAGAAACTCTATTCAAAGTATCAGGACCTAAGACAGTAAGCATCAGTTTCTTACATACCCCCTTTGCACAAACACACAACATCTAATAAGTTCTAGCAACACCACGAAGACTGAAATGCCTCAAGGCACATTTGATTTTCTGATTTAAATCGAGTATTTATGGTTAAGGCCTTAAGCTGTCTAGTTCTAAAACACAACTACATTTAAAAAGTTCCCGTAACAAAAGTCTGCTGGTTCCAATTGAATGTGTTTTTTCCTCTATTATGTAAAACCACTATTAATTTTTGCATAATGATATTATAGATAAAACAGATGCAAACAATTACAGCTGACACATAACTACAATAAAAGAGTATTTTTTCTTATAATCAGGATCACTTAATGTGGAGATGTTAGCATTAATTACAGATATGTTGACTGAGCTCATTTACACAAATATTTACATACCTAGCATTACACAAGTGAAAAAATACTGCTGAAATCAATAAATTATTCATGTCTCCATGGCAAGACTAAATCAATAAAGTATGTTGTGTTCTCCAGTCTGAAAGTACCCTGGTGAACCCGAGTATTTCATCTTAACTCGTAACATTAAAAAACCCAAAACTAAACCAGATCCTACTTAATCCTCAATTTGATTATTCCCATGATACCCCCAGAAATCGGCTACCAAAACTTAGACAGATGATGATACTACACCTTTTAACAAAAGTGTACCTTGGCATAACTGAGATTCTTATCAATGGCTCTCCCATAAGCACGATGATTTAAAGACAGCTTTAAAGGGGAACTAAAACGCAAGCGTCCCGCCTAGCACTGAGAAGCGCTCTCTTTCGACGGCGCCGTTTTGCCTTCTCACCGGGGCGAGGCGCAGGGCCGGGCTTACCGCCACCCCCGTACCGCAAGCCGGCGGAGA